CATCGTCGTGACAGACAGCACCAGGAGACACAACAGGACTAACAACCAAATTAACTAAACAATTATTCTCCGCAACAACATCTACTTTAGGCACACTGAGCGAACTCACATTTTTAATAGGCTCAATAACAGTAAGAAGAACATCCCGAGTCGAATGGGATTTAGCTAATTGTGGGTGCAAGAGCAAACATTTCGATTTGGAATGTCCTAAAGATTTACGATGAAAATAACACAAAAGCATGTCCTCTAAAATAATCGACTGAACATACCCCAAATTACCCGGACCAATCCAAACCTTGTCAAGAAACTGCTTAGTAACATTTAATTCGACCAAAACACGAGCAACCGAGGGATGAGAACCAATATAAGTAGCATGATCAATTTTAAGGGGGAGACCAAACATAGAACCGATGCCATGAAGAATCCTCGGAGAAAATAGATGTGGTCTCAAATTTTGGAAGGCACCCAAATAGGAATAATATGTGATTCAATATCCACATCAAACGAAGGCGATCATTTGATCAAATGCATGTAACAGTTGTTAATGAAATAGGAACGATGAGCAAAGATACAATAATAATCCAGATTGTTCACTAATTTAATCAAAACATTCTTTGGATTAAGAACTGTAACAGAGAAATCACCAATGAGTTTAAGATTGAAAAAAAATTTGAATATCTTCAAGGGACGACCAGTTGGTTGGAAATTTTCCAACCAACGCGAATCGAAAGGTGTAGTAAGCGAAAGAATTTCGGCCTAAAAAATCCACAGAGAGGGAAGCCCTTGGTGAGTAGTGATTTTAAGTTTGGGGAAAGAAAAGACTTTGCCAGAAAGAGCATCCTGAAAGGACTTAGAAGAAGGATTGCCATCAAGAAATCTGGCGTCAACTAAATGTTTGTCAGACATCGAGAACAGAAGGCACGAGAAAGCACCAAAAAAGCACAATGAAAGCACAAAATGAAAGGGAGAATCACTTCCCTGAACGAAGAAGAATCGTCAGAAGGCACGAGTAAAGCAGCACGACGAGGGAATCGCCTCGGAGAAGAAAACCCTAGCAGAGCGCATTGTGAGAAAAAGCTGATCAAAAAAGCATCTTGTTAACTACTACCCTGTTCCAATTTGAGGATAAGTTAAGATAAAAAGAACTTTGGCAAAGGTCCAACAATTCGAGGAAGAACGAAGTGCAAAAAAGATGGTCAACACTCAACATTAGGGATGTCAATTTCGGGCCAGGGGTCGGGTTCGAGTCAACCTGAAACTGACCCGACACTATTTGGGTCAACCCGAACCTAACCCATTTGTGCAAATAGGTAGGTTTTTTGGACCCAACCCCAACCCACTTCGGATCCGGGTTAACACGACATGACCCGAATGATCCGGGGTGACAAAAAAATGCTAGTTTTCGGGTAAAAAAATGGGTTAATCTCCAATTTTCTGGTAAAAAACGGGTCAAATGGGTTTCTAGGTCAAAAATGGGCTTCTAGGTCGACTCGAACCCGACCCGATTTTTTATACGGTTTGATTTGTTGAACTCAAACCCGACCTTTTTCTGGTCCGAGTTAACCCTAACCCAGAATTTCGGTTTGAATACGTGTCGGATTTCCGGGTCGTGTCAAATATTGACACCCCTACTCAACATACATGCATGTTGAAAGAGTAGATATATTCAAATAAAATCATGCATAATAAGGCCGGGCATTGTAGATCTCGCTCAAAGGAAATAATCCATTATACCCTCCACTCGTTCTTTTTGTTTATGTAAAATGGGCCATATCAGCTATATTATCCTTTGATTTTAAAGTGAAATAATGAGGAAAATAAAGCATACAATAATGGAGAAATGGCAATGACAATCGCATACTTATCTAAAAAATACATGCACGAAGATGTCTCTAATAAGGCACGTGTTATTAAAAATTTCACCTGAAAAACAAAAAACTTTCAGAAGTTTCTCACAAAGTTCAAATTATTCGTCAATTTTTTAGTAATAAGCAATGGCGTCATCTATACAAATAATTCGTGTTTGGACGAGAATAGTACTAGAATGGGTGACCTCATAAAAAATTCTCGTGTTGCATCCATTTTTTAGTCGGCCTTCTCTTTAAAAAAAAAATCTTGAATATAATCAAAATTAGTAGATAGTAATTAATGAAAATTTTTAGATAATGAAAGGTCATAAAGGAGAAATACGAATTTTGGAATATTGGAACTTCGAATACTTCATTTGGAGAGAGGAAAGTGGCTTAGTGATCATAAGGAAGATATTTGAACTATTTCATGATGTGAACTATAAGGAAATAAAAATCATTGATGAAATAATTAATATTATTAAAAATATATATTGATAAAAAGGTGAAAATAAGCAAATATTATATTCCAAATGGAACATATCTGCAATAGATTTGGAAGTTTAGCAGCCTCATCTACTTGGATATCTGTATCAATACATAATCAGATAAACAAAATTCTTATCAACATTCTGCGATCCCTCTCAATTCATCAACCCCTTTGGAATTCAAATTTTCACTCCAATGACTTTAATTGTTATCATCAACAATCTAAAATGTTTCTCATTTGCATTAGCCATGAAATATCAAAGATTTTGACATACATCTAGTTATTGCATGGCACAACCTAACCCGATAAAACCCACAGACGGAATTGTCCTACGTGGTGGCTTACAACATGCCAAATCTAAGATCGAAGTTTTGGAAAACTTTTTAGATGATTTCTTCCAATATAATATAGAAAATTAATGACATACCACATAGTTATTAGTAACTACAAATATGCATAAAATACCTCAATATTATTTATCATCAAAATGTATTTACAACAATTACACTACAGTGCATGGATACTGACTGAGCTGCAAACTAGAATAATTTAAATAACTAGTCATTATTGTACCCCAAAAAAAAAATAGATACATACATAAACATAGACAAATCAAATCTTGAATCGTCTACTCAATCGTCTTCTGCCTTCCTAGACCACGAAATAAATTGCAGATAAATTATGAGCTAATACAACTGAATATGTCACGCTTACCGTTCTAAATTTTCAAAATAAATCATTTAGTATCCATTTAGGTAAATTCCAAAGAACTCAGTGTCGTAGCACCGCCTACCTCGGCGCCAGGGTGCCCCAAGAAAAAAGTTTAGATTTTCAGAACATGCAAACAAACCCCTGTGACCCATTTAGAAGACATGCATATAAAATATTCTCAAACACATGTAAAAAAATTTAAATGTAGGAATTCAGTAAATTATCTTGAATCAGATTAGGTGTAAGAACCCTTAAACTTTAAAAGATGTTTTAACCTGTAACAACCAAAAATTATTTTATGAATCATTATATATCCAAATTACAAATTGTTGTCATCATAACATAGATATTATTTTGCTCTAATTATAATAAATTTTTTCTAATGTTTTTGCATTATTTCAATAACTTAAAAATTTGACACTTGTCGATATATATAAGTTAAAATTTTGGAATCGTTAGCTATCCAAGTTGCAAATCTAGTTCACCCGATCATTCTTGATATTCTCAAACAAATGTCAGAATATTTTATCATAAATTTTGAATCTCCAAATTTGAAGATATAAAAGAATTGATATTTATGCTAAAAATTTGAACAATTGGCATTATTACATTTGTGTACTTATATTATTATATTATAAAAAATCTTTAACCACTTACCAATTTCATTTAAAAGCCATTTTCCCATACATTTTAATTTGCCCAAACCAGAGAAGGAAAAGTAGGAAAAAGAGAAGAAAAGAGATAAAGAGAGGAGAGATGAAGTCCTTTTTGGACACAACTCTCCTTGGCCTGTTGGTTGAGAGCTTAGGCTTCCAACCAAGAGGTCCAAGATTCGAGTCTATGTGTATGCGTTGTGTGTGTGAGTTTGCCTTAAATGGCCTAGATGTCCCAAAAAAAAAAGTCCTTTTTGGATGGCTTCATGTCATTTTCAGTTATAGACTCAATTAGGAAAGTTATCAAGATAGAGGTAGGTCTTATTATGTTTATCTCAATTTTAAAAAATATGATTTTTTTTATAAAATTTTCATTAAATTTATATTTTCATTATCAAAAACTGAGGATAAATTTGTACTGGTAAAACTTTCACCATATATTTTTTTATATATTGTTGAGAATGAGATTTTGTACATACAATTAATGTTTTAGAGTTTTCAAATATGTTTTAAGCCCTTGATTTGAGCCCATTTGGGCTCGAATTTTACAGATTTTGTTGACATCGTGAATGTTTCACTGAGATGTTTAATTTGACTTAAGTTTGTCAAAATTTGAGTTCAACCGATCCTGAATTTAATATTGAAGTTACTAATATGCTTCGAGATTTGTGTATGATCAAGATAATTTTGGTGACATATTAGATATATTATTATACTTTATGATTATTTCATATAATTCTTTTAATATGAATATATCAATAGATTAGTTGTGTAAAATAATTGTGGCTAGTTCGATTTATGTATATATAAGAACACTTAAAATTATCTCATTGATATATTTAAATAAATATTACTTTTTATTATTTATGTATATAATACTCATAATTTAAAATTAACATTATATATATAATGTTAATTTTAAATTATGAGTATTATATACATAAATAATAAAAAGTAATATTTAATTAAATATATCAATGAGATAATTTTAAGTGCTCTTAGGCAGAAAATCTCTCTCCCAAGTAAAATAAAACTTAAATTCACATCCTAATGAAGTACGCATTGATTTTCTACTCAAATTGAGAACCTTCCAAAGGCCCAATACAACTTTCCCGATTCCCAAATATAGGCCCCATCAACAATAATCGATCTTGCAAGATAGTTCTGGAAGCGCCGAGAGCTCTAACGCTCCCAGTCTGAGAAAGTGGGAGAACATCTTCGTCCATCCACCACATCCAACGGCTCACCGACGTCTCTCGAAGGCTCCGGAACCTGGAATCCCCGCCCTATAAAACCCTGCCCAGTCCCCCGTTCTTCTCCAACTTAAGATCAAAGAAAGCATTCACGACTCTTAACGAATTTCAATCAATCTCAAGCTCTTCGTCAGGAATCTATGGCGGGAAAAGGCGATGGACCAGCGATTGGGATCGATCTCGGGACGACGTATTCCTGCGTCGGCGTTTGGCAGCACGATAGGGTAGAGATTATTGCGAATGATCAGGGAAATCGAACTACCCCATCGTATGTTGCGTTCACGGATACGGAGCGGTTGATAGGCGATGCGGCGAAGAATCAGGTCGCGATGAACCCCGTCAACACTGTTTTCGGTGGGTTTGTTCTCTAATCTAATTTATTTTTATTTGCTCTTTGATGCTTCATCGCTCTTTTGTTCTTGAATTCTTCTATTACTTTTTTGTGATGTTATCTATAGATTTTTGTTGGAATGCCTTCGTTGATTTATGCATGTTTTTCTACTCTGTATGCCTGTGATGTCCCCTGATTCTGTAGATGTGAAAATCGGGAAAAAAACCTGTAGCATTAGTTTATAATTGAAAAATGATTATAGTACTATGTTAATTTTGATGCATCTGTATGTTCGTATTATGAATCATATAATTAATTAATTCAAAAATGATTTATGGAATATGCAATTTTGATTCATCTGTTCAATTGTAATATTAATCTTATAATTAATTAATTATCTTGTCGTTAATGTAATTCTGCTAAATTTATAGGAATTAGAGGAGACTTACGAGGATCAGTGCTAGCTTTATAGTGCTTTATCTTGTATACTTTCGAGAAGCCACTTGCGTTGGTTTCTATTTCCGCATTAGATTTAGCTTTGTTACGAATTTATTTAAATTCGATTTTCCTTCGGTTAAATCTTATTTAAATAAAAAAAGTCATTTAAAAGTTATGTAATTTGTTAGCTTTCAAACGATATGCGTTTAGTTGAACATAATTTAATTAAATAATATTTCATTAAAAGGATTAGCAGTTGTTTTGTACACTGATATTTCTTAATAATATAAGATTATGTTGCTGATATTAATGAATCATATATCCTTTTTTTTCCATTATTTTATGAATCTGTAATTCTACTGCGCTACAATAAGGTGATTAAAACTGAGCATACTTCTCTTGTATAATTATTTATATTCTGATTAAACATACCGTCCCCAAACCGTGTATGGTTTTGCCGAACATTTTCCCGAGACCATGTATGATTTTGCCCATCTAACGACTAGACTAGCATCTATGATTTTTCTTGAAGAAATTTTTTTGAGTAATATAATAATCGTCTCTCTTTTGTTCATCTTATCACCGCAGATGCCAAGCGTTTGATCGGCCGGCGATTCTCCGATCCTTCCGTGCAGAGCGACATGAAGCTATGGCCTTTTAAGGTCATTCCCGGCCCTGGCGACAAACCCATGATCGTGGTTACCTATAAAGGAGAGGAGAAGCAATTCTCTCCTGAGGAAATCTCCTCCATGGTTCTTACCAAAATGAAAGAAATTGCCGAAGCTTTCCTCGGCAAAAGTGTAAAGAACGCAGTAGTCACTGTCCCTGCCTACTTCAACGACTCTCAGCGGCAGGCAACTAAGGATGCTGGCGTCATCTCCGGCCTCAATGTCATGAGGATCATCAACGAGCCTACTGCTGCAGCCATTGCCTATGGCCTTGACAAGAAGGGTGGCAGCTCTGGTGAGAAGAATGTCCTTATTTTTGACCTCGGTGGAGGTACTTTCGATGTCTCTCTTCTCACCATTGAAGAAGGCATTTTCGAGGTGAAGGCTACTGCTGGTGACACTCACCTCGGTGGAGAAGATTTTGACAACAGAATGGTGAATCACTTCGTTCAGGAATTCAAGAGGAAGCATAAGAAGGATATCAGTGGCAATCCGAGGGCTTTGAGGAGGTTGAGAACTGCTTGCGAGAGAGCAAAACGAACTCTTTCCTCCACTGCCCAGACTACCATTGAGATCGATTCTCTTTACGAGGGGATTGATTTCTATACGACCATTACTCGAGCTAGATTTGAGGAGCTCAACATGGATCTCTTCAGGAAGTGCATGGAGCCGGTCGAGAAGTGTTTGAGAGATGCGAAGATGGACAAGAACAGTGTTCATGATGTTGTTCTTGTCGGAGGATCAACAAGGATTCCCAAAGTTCAGCAGCTGCTGCAGGATTTCTTCAATGGGAAGGAACTCTGCAAGAGCATTAACCCCGATGAAGCTGTGGCTTATGGAGCAGCTGTGCAAGCTGCAATCTTGAGCGGAGAGGGGAATGAGAAGGTACAGGATCTTCTCCTTCTCGATGTTACTCCCCTCTCTCTTGGCTTGGAGACCGCTGGCGGTGTTATGACTGTACTGATTCCGAGGAACACCACCATTCCCACCAAGAAAGAGCAGGTATTCTCTACTTACTCGGATAACCAGCCAGGTGTACTAATCCAAGTCTATGAAGGCGAGAGAGCCAAAACCAAGGACAACAATCTGCTCGGCAAGTTTGAGCTTTCCGGCATTCCTCCTGCGCCCAGGGGCGTGCCTCAGATTAATGTTTGCTTCGATATCGATGCCAATGGCATCCTAAACGTTTCAGCAGAAGACAAGACTACAGGTCAGAAGAACAAGATCACCATCACGAACGACAAGGGCAGGCTTAGTAAAGAGGAGATTGAAAAGATGGTGCAGGAAGCAGAAAAGTACAAGACGGAGGATGAGGAGCACAAGAAGAAAGTGGAGGCTAAGAATGCTCTTGAGAACTATGCTTATAACATGAGAAACACTATAAACGATGAGAAGATTGGAGGAAAGCTGAATCCAGCTGACAAGAAGAAGATAGAAGAAACAATTGATAAGGCAATACAGTGGCTGGATGGTAATCAGCTCGCGGAAGCTGAAGAGTTTGAAGACAAGATGAAGGAGCTCGAGAGTGTCTGCAACCCAATCATTGCAAAGATGTATCAGGGTGCAGGTGGCGCCATGGATGAAGATGTTCCGCGTGGTGGCAACAGTGGCGCCGGTGCCGGACCCAAGATTGAAGAAGTTGATTGAAGTTACTGCTTTTGAAGATACCGGAGTCTTGTTATGCAACATTTGTAGTTTCTTTTGGTCTTTCCGTTTCTTTTTTTATTTTCTTTGTTTTGTTATCTCTACTTCTCTTACTGCATTGTAGTATTCTGCGCTGAATCGGAAACACACATATTGAGTGTCATTCTGAATTGATTCTTGGTTTTATAACTGTTTACAGCCATAGTGTTTGTGAAAAGAGTTGCTCATGATTGGGAAATGATAGTGAGTTAGCAATGTAGAACTTTTTGTAGTTAAAACTATTCGAAGTATTCTTTTAACAGAGCTAACCAGAGGTTAAACATGAGGTGTAAAATAGTTCTCTGCGAATTGGAAAGATTTCATGGAAATATGAGATTTAGAATGAGAGACGGTTAGGTATTTTAAAAGAAAATGAGAAAAACAAGATAAATTAAATAATTAGTAGTATAATTTGTAATTTAAAATAGAAATTTGAGAAGAGGAGGACATCATCATTCATTCCACTATCAGAGATCTGGTACGTCGGTTGCAGGAATCCTTCAAGGATGCGAGATGAGCTGATTGGATCAGAGCTCTAGATTGTGCGACGATCTGAAGAGGAGGAGATGCATAATCTTCGTGCATACATGAGGACATAATGTTGTGCAAGAGGGCACTAGCATCATGGTGCAATATCCATGTGGAAGCCAAACGTATTGAAGTGCCAAAAATTAAGAGCTTTGGACGGGTTTGCAATGCAAAAGAAGTAGACAATTTATTATGAGGGTTATAACATAGATATTTTTGTGATTTAATTAAACTAATACTTTCATTATTTTTGGGCATTCTTAAGAAATTGATGCTGTTGGTACATCTGAAAATGTTGGGATTGTCAAGTGTTCATTTTACAAATTGATTTCATCATAATTTTTTAAATAAAATATGTTATTTATGAATTTTTTTTTTATAATTTTTTAAGCTTTCAATTTGAAAATATAAAAGAATCTATATTAAATTTTCACTAAATTTAAATAATTGCATAATTAGATTTATATATTAATAATACTTTATCACTAAATTAATAATACTTTATCACTAAATATCTAATTATATTAACATAACATATTATTTTTTTCACACTCATCATGGAATAGAAATAAAGAGAGAAATGTGAGGAGAGAAAATGTAAGCTTAGGTTTGGAGGTGATGAATTTCTAATTATATTAACATAACATATTACTTTTTTCACACTCATCATGTAAAAGAAATAAAGAGAGAAATGTGAGGAGAGAGAAAATATAAGCTTAGGTTTGGAGGTAATAAAGCGGTTTTCATTCGTGAAATCTTACTCGTCTCTTTGTAAGAAATTATTATCTTATTTCTGATTTCAAATATTTTATGCATTTTAAAATTTTCAAATCAAATTTGTATTTTTATTATCGAAAAATAATGATAATCCTGTATTGGTAAAATTTTCATCGCATAGCTTTGCATAAATAGGGGTGTCAAAACTTGACCAGACTCAAAATCGGACCTGAACCAAAACCCTATTTGTCATACTTGTCGGATTCGGGTTCTATATTCTAACCCATTTCTAAAATCGGGTAGAGTTTGGGTTGACCCAGAAACCTGAAATCAACCTAAATGACTCAAAAACCCTTGCCCAAAAGCCCAAAATCCTCTACAACGTTCGATCCCGGCTCTGTTGGGTTCGCAAGCCTAATGCTGGCTTTGATTTGCACTAGCTTCTCATGCCTCCGTCAGCCTTATCGACGACATTCCATATGTAGTCAACCAACTTAGCCGCGTCCATTCGATATGTGGACAGTCGACTCAGCCACATCCATTCGATCTGCTTCCACCAGCATGACTGACGCACCGCACCTGCTTTATCTGTGGTCATTATGTCTTGCACTGGCTTCGCTCGCTCACATTGGCTTTGTTACCTTAGTATGCAGCCACTTCACCTGTGGTCCTGGCGTCCTGTATTGGCTTCGCCTGCTCGCATTGGCTTTATCTGCACCTGCTTCACCTGTTGCCAGTTGTCCGAGTTCGCATGTTAGATTGAGTCAATTTGTAACCCATATGGGTCAAGTATGAGTTAGAAAATCTAACATATTGGTAAAACCGGGTTGGTTTAGGGTCAACCCCTTTGGATCTAAGTCAATTCGGATTAGACTCGAACCTGACATGTTGACCCATTTTGACACCCCTAACTTTGTATATGTTATGAATATTGAGATTATGAATATTTTAAGTATTTATTTAAGATTTTTTATGAGTGATTTTTAAAAACCAACGAATGATTTTCTATAAATACTTTGGCTTTATGTTATCTTCTATTGTTTCACATGTTATCAATAGAGAGTTATAAGACTGTGATTACTAAACCGGCCGACGATCAAAGAATGAAGACGAACTTAATATATCTCCTAAGTTAAAAATTTTCCTAGTCTTCCAAGTGAGCATGCTGAGGTCTTTTTTTTTTTTTGGAAAAATTTGGGCAACTGCCCCTATATTTCAAAAGAAATAAAGGTTACATAAAAAGAAGGTAACTGCAAAAAAAGTTCCTCATCTAAAACAAACAATGAGGAGCAACAGTAAAAAAGATCAAAATACATGTATACCACCCAGTATAAGCCAAAAAAGATAAATGTTGATCCAAAATTGGTAGATACAACATTCAATAATCAGCAAAAAATGCCACCGCAGACGAAGATGACAACAGAAATGTGCAGCTGGGAGACACCAGAGTTCCAATCCGAGCTAAATCCTGCAAGGAAGAGAGAAAAATCACCAGCTCCCGATGCCAGGAGACTGGACTCATAGAAGAGAATGTGTCCCTGGTTGCCCAAAGACCCTCCAAGGAACACACATTGGGGAGCATCATCATCGTCCAGTCCCCAAATACCCCAGGCAAGACGAAGGGACAGGGGACCAAAAAGAACCAGCCGTTTATAATTTATCCAGCAGAACATCAGCTTTCTTCCAATTCAACAGCTTCTCAAACATCACCCTTTTGATGGACAGCAAAACAGTGGTAGAACATTGATTTATACCACTAAATCTCCTACTATTTCTTTCTTTCCAAATAAAATAAATACTGTAGCAGACCGCCAACTTATAAAAGTTCAAATCAGTCACATTAGCACAGAATTTTACTTTCATCCAGTCATATAATTGCAATATAGTCGGTCTGAGAAGAAATATTTCAACCCCAGGAATTAAGCTTCTTAATATGGAAAAAGAGAAAGAACATTCAAAGAAGATATGAGCAACAGATTCATCACAAATATTGCATAGGCTACAGGTTTTGAGAACCAGAATATGCCTAATTCTTAGCGCATCCGCAGTCTTCAGGCCATCCCGTAAGGCCAACCAAACATATACAGCATGCTTAAGAACGTGCTTTTTATGCCAGACCAGTTTAGCCCAAGTGCAATCATTGTAATCAGAATAATATTCCTTGATAAAAAGCTTAAAATTAAAGCAGTTCTTTTCTTTCCATAGCAAGCTAGGCCCCTCACCCTCCTCAATAATAACTTGAGCCAAAGTCTGGTGATATAAAGATGGAATTACCCCAGAAAAATCTCAACGATTCATAGAAATAATATTTTTCAACATGATTTCCGGTAAACCAAAGTTATCCACCATACCACATAAATTTCCCAGCGTAGAATTAAAGCACCAGTGATCCCACTTAAGAGATATAGGAAAATTTTTATAAATTCTAAACTGGAAAAGTGATTTAACACTACCAGCCGTGCAGCAAATCGATTTCCACATTTTTGAAGCAGAAAAGTGAGGGGGCTTCCAAGGAGAGCAATACTTGGCTAACAACCAGCAAGCTAGGGGTGAAACAGAATTGTACATTTTTAAAATAACAGAACAGTTGAACGCAAACTGCATAGCATTAATAGAATAAATCCCCAAACCACCTTTATCTTTGGGTAAACAAATTTTATCCCAAGAGACCATATGAAGCTTCTTATCAGTGTTGGTGCTGCCAAAAAACAAGAATCTAGAACTTACTTTCTTGAAAACCTTGTGCACAGTTTTAGGTATAATCGACCCCCTAATCCAGTAGGCAATAGTGTTTTGAATAGTGAACTTGAGGTATTGAAGTGTGCCCGCAAGAGATAGAAGATTTGCTTTCCAACCATTAAGTTTTTTGTTTATACTATCCAACAAGGGTAGAAAATCAGCAACATTGAGCCTATAAAAGGAGAGAGGAATCCCCAAGTAGGTGATCTTGGAAACAATGGTATGAATGGAAAGCAATTGACACACCTCCAGCTGATTACTCACATGCTTAGGGAACATTATATAGGATTTGTCATGATTAATAACAAGTCCAGAAGAATTAGCGAAATCATTAATAACAGAGACAAGAATTTGGCAATTCTCCCTAGTTGCCTCACCAAATATTAAGACATCATCTGCATACAGGAGATGAGAGAGTTTAAAATTCCCATTAGTGATACCTTTAAAACCTCTACCATCCAGCAAGTTAGAGAAGGCATCCATCACAATACATAAAAGGTAGGGGCTAAGGGGACACCCCTGCCTCATACCAGCCGAAGAAGGAAAGAAACCTTCAAGTGCCCCATTCAAGACAATAGAGAAGTTGACATCAGAGACACATGCCTTAACCCAATTAGTAAAGGTAGACGGAAAACCTTTCTGATTAAGTATTGCAAGAAGGAAATCCCGGGAGACAGAGTCAAATGCTTTCTTGATATCAAGCTTAGCACAAAAAATTTTTTCCCCACCTCTTTTACCAGCATGAAAAAGAATATCATTAGCTAGAAGAATGTTGTCAGTAGACACCCTAGAGTTCACAAACCCATCTTGGTTATCTTTAACAATCAAGTTCATGTACGGCTTGATTCTAGTAGCCATAGTTTTGGCAATGATTTTGTAAAGCACGTTACACAATGCAATCGGTCTATAATCAGAAATATTAGAAGCATTTTTTTTCTTAGGAACAATAGCTAGAGCAGTAGCCTTAACACCTTTAGGGAGATAACCTTTAATGAAGAAAGATCTGATAGCCCTACAGACATAGGGACCAAGGATGTGCCAACCAGATTTATAGAAGTGAAAGTTTAAACAGTCAGGGCCCGGGGCAGACTTAGAAGAACCAGAGAAAACAGCAGCTTTAATATCTCCATCCGTCACAAAAGAGATAAGAGATTGAGCATGGTCAGCAGCCAAGGCTATCCCCACAGGGAAAATAGCCATATCCCTATTGCAAGGGGGGATAGGATTATAAAGTTCTTGATAGTAATTAATGATGGTTGCAGTAACTTCCTCTTTGGAAGATTGCGAATTATGGTTGAGCAGGTTAACAACCGATTTCTTACTCCCCATTCTAATCCTAATTTTAGCATAGAGGAATTTAAGATCATCTTCACCATGTTTCAACCAATTAACCTTGGCCCTTTGAATTATCCAGGAAGCTTGCAAAGACATAAACTCAGCTAACTTGGTATTATTCTCTTTATAAGATTGATTCAAAGACATGCTGGAAGGATCAGAATGGAGAGAATCCAACAGAGATTGTTGAGTAGCATGAAGGTGTTCAATGTGTCTACTTACACAAGAGGAAGAAGGCCACGGCTGGGCTTTAATTTTCTGAGGTCTTACTAAGAAGATTTGGAGGATCCATCAAAAGGAATAATATCCAAGTGAAATCCCATAGCAGCAATCACTTCCTTTGACAAATAAAGTGGAAGAAACATTATCAGATCAAGTGATCCGCCGACGAGGAGTACCAAATTATAAGGAATACTTTATTAAGTGGAAGGGTTTGCTGGACAATGAAGCTAGTTGGGAACATGAAGACACTATATGGCAATTCAAAGGCAATATTCAACGATACCATAAGGAAGATGTGATGAGAGCATCATGAGCTTATGTGGGGGAGACTGTCACACTTTGCCTTCTCATGGAGGTTAACCAAAGCAAGCCCAATACTTTGAAGATTCCAGAACCTTCTTCTAGGATCCAGATCAAATTAGAATGAAAGAAACTTCAAGAGAATTCTAAAATTTAATGAAGTATTTTAGAAAACATTGAATGAGCCATTGTAATAACTAAATAATATAGAATAGTCTACAATACATTTAGTTATTATGATAGTTTATACAATGCTTCCTAGAATACTCCATGGAATTTTTTTAACATTTTAAATCTTTAAAATATGCTTTTGTCCCTTCATTTGGATTCACTTGGGTCCGGATTTGACCGATTTTTGTGTTGTTGGGTTCGTCTTTGTTGAGATATTCAATTTGACTATAAGTTTGCTAAAATCGGAGTTTGGATGGTCCAAAATTTTATTTTAGAAGTTTTAAATTTAAATATACTTTGAGATTCATGCCCAATTAAAATGATTTGTTTGTAACTTAACTAAAAAATATATAATATCTACATAAAATATAAACTAATTTAATATGTCTCATGGTAGATAGTATTGATACGTCATCACAAAGTTAGCTTGATCGGGCACGAATCTCGAGGCAAAAGCTAGTTGGAAACTTCAAAAATTAATTTCAAGAGCACCCAAACTCCGATTTCAGCAAGCTTATAGTCGAACTGAGCGTCTCGGAAATACGAACTCAACGACACCAAATTCGACCCTATCCGAGCCCAAATGGGTCCGAATCATGGACCCGAAGCGCTGTTGGAAGGTTCAAACCGCAATTTGAGTTATCAAACGGTCTCCGATTTTAACGAGCTTATACTCGAATAGAACGGCTCGACGAGACGAGTCCAACGAGCCCAAGATCACAGAATTCCGACATCACTAAGGCCTTCAAATGTCCAGGTGCACGATCGTAGGATTCAATATCGGCCATCCATTTGACCACGCCCTATTCGCCCCTGATCTCACGCCTATTTACGGACCATGCCACTCCAAAAAATCTATAACTATATCCCTCATTTCTCATGAGAGGGGGGTCCAAGCAAGAAGAGAAGGAAGAGGAGAAGGAAGAGAAGGAAGAAACTCCTCCTCGACCACCGCAGAAGCCTCGCCTGACCACCTCCGGAACCTCGCCGGACCATCGCCGGAGCCTCGCCGGATCACCAACCTGAGCTTCGCCGGACCACCGCCGGAGCTTCGTCACACCACCATCTCAAGGCCCGACGTTCAGGTCCGACGTGCTACTGAAGGCCTGACATTCAGGCCCAACGTTTTGCTCAAGGCCCGACTTTCAGGCCTGACGTCTTCATCTGAGGCTCTCACCTTCTCCAGAAGCCCTCACCTTCGTTAGAGGCCCTAACCTTCATCAGAGGCCCTCACTTTTACCAGTGGCCTTCACCCTCGCTAGAGGCCCTTATCTTTGCAGAGGCCCTTGTCTTCGTCAGATTATCATCAAAGGCCGTATGCTCCACCATAACACCATCTGAGGCCTGGACTTCTGCTGGGCCGCTACCTGACGTCCAGAGTTCTACCAAAGTACCGCCCTACTACAACGGTCCTTCTAACCTCTGTCGCCTACTACGGTCCATCCGACCTCCATCACCAGACAACGGTCTTTCAGACCCCAGTCTCCTACCGATTACGGTCCTTCAGGCCTTCGTCGCCTACAACGGTCCATCCGACCTCCATCACGAGACAATGGTCTTCTAGACCCCAATCTCCTACCGACTACGGTCCTTCAGGCCTTCGTCGCCTACTATGGTCCTTCCGACCTCCATCAACAGACAACGGTCTTTCTGACCCCGGTCTCCTGCCGACTACGGTCCTTCCGACCAGACAAACATGTATATGTAATTCTTACTATGTAATGCAATCTATATGATGTACATTTGCTACATCAATCCAAGGCCTTCTCCCAAGGAAGAGCCTCATTTGTAATCAACTACAAATATTAGTGGATTCATTCAAACTGGGCCAGACCCCGGGGTTTTTCCCCATTTTTAGGGGTTTTCAACGTAAAAACTCTGGTGTCCCTTATGAATGCTACACCCTCTCTTTTTATGTGTGTGTGCTGGATCTTCGTACAATGCTAAGACGTTAAACCATATATTTCTCTACCGCCGCGAATATTCCAGGACGCAACAAGTATAAAAAGTTCAATCATAAGAGAAGATATTTCATAATTAAATGATTAATTTTAGTTTAATGGTTATTTAATATGTATAAGTTATGTATTAAAAAAATACAATTATTTGACGTGTAAATCGCAAAAGTATATAATATTTTGTAAGAATTAAAAAAAAACACGAATAAATGTTATACTAACACTATTGCTAGAAATATTTCAGAAAAAAAAAAAGAATTATTGCAGAAAAATGTAAAAGCAAATCATCTCAAAACTGTAAAGATCTAAATTTTCAATTTTGTACCCCTTACTGGAGAAATTTAAATCATAATATATTGTTTAATAAATGACATAAAATTCCAAAAATAATTTAAATTATTTTACTAAATTGATAATTACCCCTTATTTGGCGTGTGCTTTACAGGTAAATATAAAAGCTTAAAAACCAGCAACGGTTAGCACGCTTCCGCCACGCGACAACACGATCGAGTATTCCTCATCTTTATACGACGCGTGTTGTAAGAACTGCCTAATCGACACGTGGCGAACAGTAGCTTTGTCGTGTGGTATACAATATTCAGGCAGCTAGTAGCTCTCATTCTTCTCTCTTATATATGTGATGCGGATATAAATTTATTTTAATTAATCTAAATATTCAAAAAGAAAAAGCATATATCTTTTGAATTATGACAAAATACACCCATATCTTTTTTTATTTACATATATATAAAATATAAGATTTAGAGAAGACGAAGATCAAACTAAACCCATGAAAATGAGAAGCGGAGAAAAAGTAGCAATGAGATCTCATTGGCGAAGATGGGAGGGCATAGACGTCGCTAGCGATATGCGCGCCCTGAAATACTTATCGAGGAAGGGCATTAGAAGAAGTTAACAAAAAGAAAAGTAGACAGAAAGTGAAATGATTTTTTTTAAGACATTGAGGCTAATTAAGTTAAATTCATACACACATCACATAAATAAAACTAGAAATTAACGCTTCTTTATTGATAATCAAAGCTTCCAACCAACACATCAATATTAGCTACCTGAAGATGATATTTATGCAAATATAATTATTTCAAGAAATAAGTAGGATTTACTAGATATTTTAAATTCTGATTTAGGGTTTAGGGTAAATCCTGAAAACAGATTGGCAATATAGGAAATTATTTGGCAATGTAATTTAGAATTTAAGAAGATTATTTCATTTAAAGTTTAATTTTAATGTGCTTTGCATCTGAGCCCTGCATTGGGCACCCATACACACACCCATCCACGTACCCACCCATACCCAATGGATATGGGTGGGTATGGGTGCGTACTCAATATGGTGGATAAACCCTCAGGGAGATCATCCAGCACATCTTCGAGGAGAAGTTCATGTCCAGCCCGTCCATGTCGTTGCGATGATGCTCGACCCGGTCATGAAGATGCGTTTGCATGGGTTGAACATCAATGCTGATTAAGTTGACGAGGCCAAGGAGAAGTTGAAGGCATATATGATCAATTAAGTACTGCCATGGCCTTAACTCAGTCATCGATGAAGATGACGATGGCATAAGGCCACCGCCGGCTAAGAAGGCACGGATAGACACCACCGCCTCCTACTTAGTTTGCGATGACTTGCCTAAAGATGATGATGAGCCTGAGATGGCCACCAACATTGCCCCTAATAGCTTGCAAGTTAGAGCCGACCTAGAGTTCACGGCCTACATGGCGCATAAGGTTAGCCTGTAAGAACAGAAGATGTGCGGTGACGAGGACGGGGAGTTCGACGTCCTAAAGTGGTGGGGACTGGTGGGCATCAAGACGTTCCCGATCATGGCACTAGTCATAAACTCTATTTTATGC